TTCAGTCAAGGACTGAAAGCACATCAAGAAATAAAAGTCCCTAGGAAAAGCCAAAGGCTGGGCCCGAAACTCTGATTGTGCTGGATTCTGCCGTAAAGGATGTACACAGGATATACAGTAAAAACACGAAAGTACTCTATTTTCCTAAGAACATTGTGACGGCCACAGGCCTTGCCAGTGTGTTTTCCTGCCTCTGCTTTCCTTTTTCCAGTCTGGATGACCTGCCCCTCCCACTTCATTAAAGGATTGGTTTCACCTGCTTGGTGCCTTTAAAAGCTGGGTGAATCCAAGATGGCTCTCTCTCTTTCTCCCTCCTGGAAGGCTGGAGCCTTTCAGGTCTCTCCTGGTTTGGTTTGGTTTGGTTTGATTTGATTATGCTGAGCTTAGCCTGGGTTTGTAGACCTTATTATTAGTTTTCCTTTGTTGAATGTTTTCAATAAATTACTCATTTACTTTAAAAGCTGTTCCCGTATCAACCACCCTTTTTTGTTTTGCTCTTCAACGAGCTGAGCATAACAGCATGTTACCAACATGAGAGAGAAAATCCTGAAAATTGTGGCCACTTATCCAACTGTAAAAACCATCACTCTGCATTTTGGGTCAAATGATGTGTCCAAACAACAGTCTGAAGTTTTGAAACAAGACTTCAATGGACTACTAAACAAAGTGAGAAAGAAGAGAGGAAAGATTCCGCAGGTTTGTTGGCATTGAAGAAATGGCTTTCATCTGCATGCAATGTCCATTTTATTGACAATTTTTACAGTAAAATAATGGAAGAGTACACGGAACACGTAAATGATTTTTTAACACAGAACTGCTTCAGTATCTTCCAGTCAGGTTTTCAGCAACAACACAGCACTGAGACAGCTCTTGTTAAGGCGTTCAATGACATCTGCTTAAACACAGAAAATGGCAGCATTTTAGTCTTCAGTACTACTGGATCTCAGGGCTGCTTTTGACACAGTCGACCACAACATATTACTTTGTCAACTGGAGAATTGGGTGGGATTTTCTGGTACAGTGCTTAACTGGTTCAAATCTTACTTAGAGAACAGGGACTACTTTGTGTCTATAGGTTACTTTACATCTGAGCAGACAAAAATTACATGTAGAGTTCCCCAAAGCTCCATCCTGGGGCCTCTTCTATTTAATATCTACATGCTCCCACTGACTCAGATAATAGACAACAACTAAATATGTTAACATAGCTACGCAGATGACACACAGCTCTACATTACAATATCAACAGGAGACAGCATCCCTATACAGACACTAGGTAAATGTATTGAACAGATAAATGAGTGGATGTGCCAGAACATTCTTCGGTTAAACAAAAACAAAACTGAGATAGTTGTTTTTAGACCAAAAGAGGACGGATTAGAAGTCAGGACACAGCTCCAACCTATACAATTAAAACCCCAGAGCAGGCCAGAAATCTGGGGGTAGTCATGGACTCAGACCTAAATTTTTAAAAACAGATTAAGGCCATTACAAATCCAGCCTACTGTCACTTAAATAATATATCAAGGATAAAAGGACTGATGTCTCAGCTGGACCTTGAAAAACTTGTCCATGCATTTATTTTTAGTCGGCTTGATTACTGTAACAGCATTTTTGCAGATCCATCCATCCATCCATCCATTATCTTCCGTTTATCTGGGGTCGGGTCGCGGGGACAGTAGGTGGAGCAGGTCGTCCCAGACTTCCCTACCCCTGGCAACGCTTTCCAGCTCTGCCTGGGGGATCCCAAGGTGTTCCCAAGCCAGCTGAGATATGTAATCCCTCCAGCGGGTTCTGGGTCCAGGTGGACGTGTTTGGAAAACCTCCAGAGGAAGCCTCCCCGGAGGTATCCGAATCAGATGTCCATACCACCTCAACTGGCTCCTTTCTACGCGAAGGAGCAGCGGCTCTACTCCGAACCCCTCCAGCTGTCCGAGCTCCTCACTTTATCTCGAAGGCTGAGCCCGGCCACCCTGCGGAGGAAGCTCATTTCAGCCGCTTGTATCCGCGATCTCGTTGTTTCGGTCACGACCCAAAGCTCGTGACCATAGGCGAGGGTTGGGACGTAGATGGACTGGTAAATTGAAAGCTTCGCCTTGCAGCTCAGCTCTCTCTTCACCACAGCGGTCTGGTAAAGCGCCCGGATTACTGCTGATGCTTCACCAAGCCGCCTGTTCATGTTGCCCTCCATTTTCTCATCACTCGTGAACTAGATCGCGAGATATTTAAACTCCTTCGCTTGAGGAAGCAACTACCCCACCAGCCGGTACCTGCCTGCTGCTTCAGGAGACCTCGAGCCAACCAGGCTCCAAAGGTCTCCTTCTTCAGCCTGACGGCTTCCCTCACTGCACCGGGTTTTGGGGTTGCCGCTGCGACAGGCACTAGTGACTTTCTGGCCACAGCTCCTAATGGCCGCTTCTGCAATGGAGGCTTTGAACATGGCCCACTCTGGCTCCATGTCCCCAACCTCCCCCGGGATGCAAGAAAAATTCTTCCAGAGGTGGGAATTAAAAACCCCACGGACAGGGGCCTCCGCCAGACGTTCCCAGTTCACCCGCACTATGCGTTTGGGATTACCAGGTCTGTCCAGCAGCCTTCCTCGCCATCGGATCCAACTCACCACCAGGTGGTGATCAGTTGACAGCTCTGCTCCTCTCTTCACCCGAGTGTCCAAAACATACGGCCGCAGATCAGATGATACGACTACGAAGTCGATCATTGACATTTGTCCTAAGGTACTCTGGTACAAAGTACACTTATGAGCAACCCTGTGTTTGAACATGGTGTTTGTTATGGCCAATCCGTGGCTAGCACAGAGGTCCAAAAACAAAACACCGCTTGGGTTCAGATCAGGCAGGCCGTTCCAGGTTTCACCGTCATTGCCCACGTGAGCATTGAAGTCCCCCAGGAGAACTATGGAGTCCCCAGGCGGCACCCCTTCCAGGACACCACCCAGTGTCTCCAGCAGGTCTACCAAAAAAAAAATCAATCAGACACCTGGAGCTGATTCAAAATCCTGCTGCTCGAATCATTAGGACCAAGAAAGCGGATTATACCATTCCAGTTCTGAGCTCTTTACACTGGCTCCCTGTGTGTCAAAGGATAGATTTTAAGTACTGCTGCTCAACAGCGTCATTTTTCCATAAAGTTTCCATAGAGATGGCGGCATGCGTGGATGCAGCAGCCCCTTCAGGAGACAGAGGGTCTGGGGTGAGTGTCTGGGCATTGGGGTGGGTGCTGGCCATGCTGGGTGGCTGTCTGGGGTGGCCTGGTCCTCCCGGGTTCTCGGTGGGCCTTCTGCCTGGGGTTGGGATAGTTCTCTGGCTCATGGGGCCCTGGGCTCAGTCCACCTTGGGTGGCCGGTGCCGGACGGGATGGTCTTGGTCCGCTGGGGCCTCTGTCTTGTGGCTGTGGGGTGCTCTGGCTGGGGCCTTTCTCTGCCTGTCTGGGGGGGATGCGTGTTCACCTCGGTGGTGTGGTGGCTGGGATTCATGCTCCAGGATTGCTGCTGATTGCCCAGGTCTTCGGGCTCTCCCAGTCTCTGGCCTTCGCAGGGGCTCGGTTGCATTTGCACGGCTGCACTCATATTTGAATACTCTCCATTCCTCATATTCTGCACTAACAGTTACTTTTGTTTATTTTGTTTGTTATTTTCTTCTGTTTTTCTTTTTCTCCTGTCATATGTAGTTTGTTTTTGTTTTTTCTCTCTACTTTTTGTGTGCATATGTAAATCTTGTGCTCTGGTAGTCGTTGTGATTCAGGTTTTCTCAGCTTGTTTATCTTAGGTGCTCTGAATGATTATCAGCTCTGTTTTCCTGCAAAGGGCCACAGGATGTTTTCTGTTGTGTGATTGTAGAGGTGTAGCAGTCGGTAGACTGGTGTATCTCTGTCTTTTCTCTGTTCTTTTCACTCTTCTTCTTATTTCTGTACACTATACACTTTTCTTTTTCTTTACTCCTTCTCTTTATCATGTCCAGCAGTATTATGTAAAATTCAGTAATAAGAAATAAAACAGAATAAATAAATAAATCAATAAATTTCAAAATGTAAAAAAAAAAATCTGATTATCAAGAGGTGGCCGATACTCATAAAGGTCCCCTTGGCAAATCAAATTTGTTCAGCACAACACAGCAGTCACATCATCATTCTGCCTGCTATGATGCTGAACCAGACACATGAAGACAAAAAAGTGCTCAGACGTGTTCTGATAATGTAGAGCCATTTTGAGCTGTGCATTTTTTTTCTTGGACACTGGTTGTTACGGTTGTCACTGAAAGTTTGGGAAATTTGTGTCAAGATAATGCAACAATAAATACTGTAAAGGCATACAATATTTTGCTGAATCCTTTTACCTTGAAGTAAAATTGTATTTTTTTCTGGGGGTCCCTCCCAAAACCTCTTGCCACCCCATGTGAATTTTTTGGATCTGTCACTGCACGCTAGCAGGAGTATCCACTTCTCAAGTGTCTGCATCAAATTTGTATCTACTTTAACCTTATCTAACGTTTCAGTTGCTCATGTTAAGGTAAGGCTGAACTGAACACTGAGCAGCATTTAATGAACAAGAGTAAATCCTGCAACTGCTCTACTGTGAAGAGAACAGCTAGCTGCGATACTACCAAGTGAGCAAGAACAGGAGTGACAGAACAGTTCTGTTTAAACAGTTTGAACAGAGTTTGAGAATGACTGTTGGCTTTCCTGAGGAGAAACAGACTGTATGATTACTACAGAGCAGAGTGACTGACGCTATGTGTGTGTGTGTGTGTGTGTGTGTGTGTGTGTGAACACTCTGCTACAAAGAAGTAGGAGTGCCTTATCTGGTTCATTTCAGCAGAAACTAGACAAAAGGCTTTTGTTAATTTAAAAAAAAAAAAAAAAAAAACCTAACACAGCATGCAAATTCCTAAAATATAAGTATTCACATTTTCATTGGATAAGAATGTGACCAAATGTGAACCAGTTTGCAAAATGAGGATGGTGTGGTGAAGATAAAATGTTACCTGCAGCTCAGCAGTGAGTCGAGGCATAGAAGCAGCTCTGCCCTGGTTCTCCAGACTTGAGCCAGGTACTGGCATTGGACTACTGATGCTGGTCTCCATCTTCCTCATCTCCACCGATTCCTGGACACACACAAGCACAAGCCCATAATTTTTAAGCTGTTTTTCAGCAGATGAGAGAAAACTGGAATGCCTGGGGGGGGGGCATCTAAGATCTGCAGCAACAATGTACGAGTATGCCATTTTAAGGCAGGAAGGGATTGTTTTCGTATAAAATAAATAAATAAGCAGTACAAATAAATAAATAAAAAAAACAGGAAAGTTTTTTTTTGACACTCTGAAGCTTAAGTAAATAAAATTACAGAAAGTGTATACAGTTTTACTCTTGATTCAGTGTCTTTAATATTTGAAAATCCCTTGGGGTTTCCCTGGTTTATACATGAGCATAGTGCCGTTTAAATTTTTGTGCTCACAGTAAACTCTATAAAACAATTAGAATATATGAAATGGTAGTTTCATATCCACAATCCGCACTGAACATTTCTGTCAATAGTACCTGATTGATGGCAGTGTTTGGTGCGTCCTCTGATGGGCCCCTGGATATGGTTCGCTTAGTCTTAGCCCGGGGTGCTTCCTTGGGTTTCTCGGTCACCCAGGAAGATGATGGTTTTATGGTGTGATCATGGCCTGGTCTGTGTGTTACAGCATTCACAGCTCAGAGTGAATATTAGAGGTCAGAGGTTTATATTTTTATTCTGCAGATGCCCAAAAAACTTAGGAACAATAATGTTATTTCATTTCTAACGATTAAGTGCAGTTTGGCTGAAACCTTGTGTCCAAACTGTATAACCACTGTACAATAATTTATACACTTTGATCTGTTAGTATTGTTTTTAGTTAATTAACCTGTGAAAACAAACCTTTTTCAAAATTCCCTCAGTACATTACATTATCTGTGTAATCTGCCAGGTCTGTCAGTCATCCAGGTCATGTAATGTTTATAAGTGCTAAGTCAAAGTTGAAGTTGATTCACCTCTTATCCAAAAAGCTCTTTTCCTTCAGGTTGAGTTATACACTGGCATCCCTTAAAAAAAAGAAGTGGGGTCTGGGATGACACTTATCATTTACATTCTAACCTGTCCTGACATTCCTCCCCAGGCAGTTTTAAGCACAACACATACAAGCTGTATTGAATCCTTTGATATGTGTCAATTGATGCCCCTGACACACACTAGATGTGTCACACACATAGAAGTATGACGGTACAGTTGACAGGAAGTATCACAGACATTGATACTGGTAAAGAGGAGAGTGGTGTAACCTGATAAGATAACGCAGTAGCTGCGCAGGATTACTTTATTCATTCTCTGCTTCCTGTATAAGTCATTTAAGCAGTAACTCTAAGCTCGTTATGTAAGCTCTCTTTGCATTGATGAAGAATATGTTGATCTTGAACATGGAGTGCTTTGTGACACAGGTAAAGTATGACTTTACCCAAAGTAGTTAAAGGTCTGTGACTCCGTAGCTGTCAGTCAGAAGCAGAGAAACATTTTGGATGACAGACAAAAGGTCTTCATGAATCTAAAGCAAGAAGCCTTTGACCTCTCTATGCCTCTCCATCACACAACACTATAAAATTCTGATTTGAATAAAAAGTACCACATGTGCAACCAAAAAGCAGAGTAAACACAGTACAAGACAAACTGTTAAGGCAGATCGATGCTTTCCTTTCAAGGTGTTCTGGTGCTTCTACTGTACGGCCATAGAAGTACAGATTGATGTCATATTTCAGAGCTGAATTTACTGTGTTGCATCAACACAACATAACTGTATGTGAATGAGGTATGAATTATCAGTGTGCAATATACTCCCACTGTTATTATTGCTAGAAAGTCATGATCGTGGGAAGGTTTGGGTTTGGTCAATCACAGAATATTATGAGCCTTTATTCAAAAAATACCGCCATCCCTACAAACATGGTGGACATTCACAGCTTCGGCTTTCATTTCATTCCAAAGCTCTGGCGTGTTTTGAAGAGAAACAGAAATCTGCCATTGGGGCCCAAACATAATTAAGAAAGAATTCCAATTCTGGCTTTGATGTGGTTTATTTAATTTGAAGCAGGTGATGGCAGTTGCAGATGTAGATGCAGTGTAGTTTGTCTTTATTGTCAGTCTTGACAGTAAATGTGATTTTAGGTTGTAGATTGTAGTTTGTATTTTGAAAATCCAACTTCAATTTGTCATACTCATGTAGTAAATAACATTGTAGAGTTTGGTGCATGGGTCAGTGTGATAAATCTGACCTTAATTTTGTGTCTCAGTATAATAAACCCAGGTACATTCACAGGGCCTGATTTACACATGCAGCTACAATAACTGTTATATGTGAAGTGTATGCAGGCTGTGTCACTATCCTCATTGTATATGCATTTTAAAGATGAAGATGTAAATAATAGAAGCAATGTTGCTTATGTATGAAACTGAATTTACTAAGGTCATTCAATTTACAATTTACTCTATGCATCTGTATGTGAGATACTAAACCCGCAACCATTTATTTTATAGAAGGTAAATCAGAGCTTAGCATTCAACTGCATCTTTACCTACTGTAACCTTAATTTCAAATGTTGATGTTGTAAAGTCAAACTACTGTGGATGTGGCATATTCTGAACTTCAACTTTGGTTTTAAGTCTTGATGTCGTGACTTAAATTTTAGTTTCTGAAGAGTCAAACTTACAGCGTGCCTCCATTGTTGAGGGAGTTGGAACTAGGTCTGGTCTGAGGCTGGGACTTGGCATGAGATTTGGGCTGGGGCTGAAGCATGCTGGGAGGCTCCACACTGTTTACCATCATAGACAGGTCTTTCTCCTGCATGTGAGTCAGAGGCAGCAATGGCTTAAACAGAGCCCTGGCCTTGCACTGTGGAGGAGAGACGGATGGCAACATGCTGAAGACACTGAGAGGCAGCAGGCAGAATATTGTTTGACCCAAGTCTAACTGTGGGGGCTTGTGTCACCCAGGAGTGGAGACATGGGTCAGAATATTCCTTTATTCGCAGTCATGCTTGTATGTAGTACTTCTTTGTGTGTCTGCATGAGTGTCTGAGGCTGTACCCAACCATGCATCTGTGTAGTAGATGTGCAGGTTTACGAATAACTGCCTGCCAGCAGCTAAATGCAGTTTTATCTTTGACTGTAGGAGGAAAATGTGCCTTTCGACAGCCACTATAGCAGGTAACAAATCTGTGGGTGCTTTTGCATGGAATGTTTAAACTGGGAAAGCTGTTGATAACTTTTGTAAATCACCAGTGACTGATACAAAAATATATTCTTTGCATGTGTGAATACATGCAAGCATTCAAAGTGTGTATCTCCGTGTGCAAGCATCATCTATGTGGGCACATGCATGCAGGTTTGCACTATTTCATTCAATATGTGTGTGTTGGTCTTTGTGTGTGTGTGTGTGTGTGTGTCTGTGTGTGCGCATGCAGGCACGTGTGGCGTGAATGTTGTACCTGGGAGCCGGATGCACTCTGCTGCTGCTGCTGCTGCTGCTGCTGCAGCCTCCTTGCTCGATTCTGCTTATAGTAGTCGAAGATCATCAGGGCTGCATAAACCTTCCCTACTGTGAGCTCATTGGCTGAATGAGGAAAGAAGAAATGATACGAGGAGGGGGGGTAGTTCAGGAAAAAAAGAAGGTGAGGAGAGGAGAGGAGAGGAGAGGAGAGGAGAGAAAATTCTGCTGACTCATTGCTCTCTCCGAAATCCATCTCGATTTGATTATCTCCTGGATTAGCTTAAACAAAAGGAAATTGGAATTTTATTAATTCACAGTAAGTAATTAAAGTAGATTTTGAAGGTAAATAAAGCACGTATGATGAGAGAACTGACGGGAAATGCCTTTGTGTAGTCAAGATATATAATAAACACAAAAGGTGGCAGCAAAATGCTCAGAACTGAATCATATGTCTTTGTCTTTTGTACACATGCTATGTCCATCTGTCCATCCATGAGTACTTACAGTACACGAACATATACACACATTTGTTTGGGATTGTATTTGTCATTGATAATATTCCTAATCCCACACTGGGATTTCTCAAATAGTTTGAAGGCAAAACAATCTTACTGTATGTAAACTTCCTATTTTGAAGAAAGTAACAAAAAATTCTCTTTGTAATTATTCTGGCATTTAGCAAATAGAAATAATTTTGGTAATCCTACCTGACCGAAAACAGGAAAAGTTTAGTCTGATTTAATGTCAGACAGTGGGGGAACAAAGGTTATATGTCTTTTTATACAGTTTATGTAAACTTTTGGTTTCAGCTGTATATTTTCTTTTTCATGCATGGCACCATTTAACTGAGAGTCTTTCTAGACATATACTGCTCAAAATAAATAAGGGAACACTTAATCATCGTGGTATAACATCAATTCAGCTAAACTTTTGGGATATCAATCCTTTTTGTTAGGAAGCTTCAGTGACTGTGTTAAAACGCAAGTGGAATTAATAAACATTAAATGTGACTCAGTCCCAGGAAGACATTGTTTGGACATGCAGTGAACCAGCATGCACAACTGCAGGAGTTCCACTTTGTGGAGTGCAGTCATCATCAATAAACCTGTGCTTTCCCTGCCTTGACCAATATAATTGTCAGCTGCAAAACAAAGGTTTAAAAGGTTTAATGCATTATTGGATTGTAGCAGGTACTGCTCAATTAACTGAAATTTTGTACTATTTATCCATCGATATATAATTGCAGGTTTAAAATTGTGAAACCTAAATAAGGTGCCAGAGATGAATATAGTGCACAACATAGTAAGCGGGGAGTGAGTAACGAGTCTGTCTTGGTGCCAGCATAGTAACAGTCAAAGTAAAAAAAAAAAACCCAGAACACCCAGTTTTTATTCCAGTAGTAAGAAAACACCCATTTACCCCCCCTGACATTTATAACAACGTTAAATAACTACAAGCAAACTTTGGAATCTAACCTCACTTAAGAGTAACTTTGGGATAGAGGTATTCAAAAAACAATTTAAGATTGTTTACTAAAGTAAACATATTTCTGTTTTCAGTGACCTTTAACAAACACCATTTCCCTACACTGCAGACAAAAGAAGTGAATCTGGGCTAGTCAGGGGTCATGGTTAGGATGGTTACAGGACTAAATATCGTAGAAGGTTACAGACTACAGAGATAAAAGTAAACCTTTAGAAAAATACTTTCCATCAGAGCATTGGTCAGTTTTATGGACAAAACTAGGTAAGCATGACATACAGTAAGTACCTGCACTGCTGTGATGTTATTTGCAGAGGAGCTGTATTTTTTTGTACTTAGTAATTGTTGTCTTTCAAATTTAAATCCATAGAATGTGAATGAATGTGACATGCCCTCCACCTCCACCTTTGCTGAGCTCAGTTCTCCCTCTTCCTTCTTTCCCCTTCCCTTTCTGTGGCCGTTGTTGTGTTGACTGAGTGTATGCGTGGGGATGTTATGTGCTCCATGCAGACTGGACCTGCGTCAGAGTGGCTGACCTACTCATAATCATCTCTTCCACCATAAAAGATGGACTCTTTCCATCACTTGACGCTGGCAAATCTCCAGATCAAGTTCTAGATCTAGTCCTTAGATCAAGTGCATTCACTAAATCTACAATGTATGCAATTACATGGTGAAAGCAGCATTAGAAGACTTTTTTTATTCATTTTTTTCATTTTTTAGTAATTGAATGACAGAAAGCAAATCAAAGCACCTTGTATAGCAAAAACGCAGTCATAATGACACGTTATGTACTGTCTCAATGGTACCCTGAAACATTCAGGGTAATGATGTGCAGTGCTCTGCAGCTTTATGTGAATTAGAATATGAGAAATGATTGCACTAGGTAAGGTATGAAAATTTATAGCTGAAACGCAACATGAAGACAGCTTTGTTTAAATATATTGTTTTCTCAAAAAGCTGTGAACAAAAGTTTAGTGACATGACTGAAAAATGTCTCCACAGATACAGACATGTGTCATGTTTCATTAAAGAGAACTTCTCTTTCGGAGATAGGGCTATTTAAATTGTTGTTTAAAAAAATGGAAAGCTCAAAATTTAGATGATGCTTACGTTTATGTGGTGTCACCAGGAGGTCCATGGTCTTTTGAGAGAGGCTGGGCCACACTGTGGACAACTCTTTCTTTAACTCAGCATCAGATAATCGCTGGGCTACCATACCTAAAAATCCAGAGAAAAAGAGACTAATTTAATTTCATTCATTAAAACACATATTCACAGAACGAAAGTACAGGCTTTTAATTAACAAACAATTAATTCTAGATATACAACACAAAGCAAGCATGACAGTAGTACATTGAGTACAATTACTGAGATTCAAATCGTTTATTTTTTTCAATACTTAATATGTCCACCTTGATTCTTGACGACAGACAATTCCTTGGCAGGAAGGATGCCAGTGTTGCACATACTTCTGGAGAGATGATCTGTCATTCTTTTTGCCTATTTTTTCACTACATTATGTACTATGGCTTATAATACACCTCTTGATTAGTGCTGCAACTGTGTTTCCATTGATTTTATTTTTTATTGGTCACTGATTTCCCCTGTGGGGGTTTTCGGTTCCTTCCCACTGTTGCGGACTGCTTGCGGACTGCTGAAGCTTATAGGGAATCCAGATGTTTTGGATTGTTGGGTGTTTCTGTTTCTGCCTTTGTGAAGCGCTATGAGATGACTTGTTGTTGTAAATATGCGCTATACAAATAAAATTGAATTGAATTGATCTTCCTGTGTTCTTTTCTGTCTTTTTTACTTTGAAAAAAAAAATCCTGTGGCAATTGTTTTTCCATGTGTAGCCATTATGCAGACATGTACGAGATATTGTAGACAGACACAGCCCATAGGGCCAAAGAAACTTTTGCTGTTCACAAGTCATTTTCTAACATGAAGCTAGGCTTATTTGAAATCTCCGCAGCTCTCACTGTTGTTTTTGTGATCACAAAATATTTACTTTTGCTTCATTTAGTTTCTACTTTAGGGCCTGGATCTTCAATATGGTATTTCTAAAATATTTGTTTTTATATGTACATAAGAGACATTACTCGACTTGACAAACTAGATATTACGTAGTGAAAGCTTCTTCA